ATATTCAGTCTCTGGATGAAAATGCAATTGTTTAATTCTGCAGATGTCATTTGTTTAAGCTTTCAGCAGCAACAATGAAAGTGAGAAGGGGGAATAAAATATTTTGTGACATGAAAATGTATCGGTTATTGAACAAGAATAGCAGTATTTCATTTCTCTCCTTTTGTTACCGGTGTTTGAAGGACTTGTGAATTTAGGGTGAATAGGGGGAAGATGAAGGACTAGATTTCAGGGGGAGAAAATCAGTTATTTTTGTTTAGAGAGTTAATATACTTTGCTTATGCCTTAGATTTTTTTTTAATGTTTTACTGTAGTTGAATGCCTTAGCTATGTTTTAATTGAGATTGTAGATATTAAAAAAGCAATTATTTGTAACTCAAATATTTATAGAGTAATCAGGTATAGGTTTGCAATGAGTCTGAATTGGTTTGATCGCTGTGAATTTGTTTTGTTTTGTTAATCAAATATTTTGGAACATTAGAATAATCTTTTGCTTAAAGAAGTTTTGAGCTGAATTTTTGGCGACTGATTTTTAGAAGTGCTGGTAACTTTGTATCAGCTGTATTGAACAAGGGCTGTCGTTAATTAAACGTCGCGAGTCGGTGCTGACTCATCGCGCCCCTATGTCCAGCAGAATAAAGTACCGCCTGGTCCTGCGCCACCTTCACGATCGTTCTTCTGTTTGAGCCCATTGTTGCAGCCGCTGCCCAGTGCAGTCTCATCTGGGACCTTCCCTTCTTTCTCCGCCCCTCTGCTCTACCAAACAGGATGTCCTTCCCCAGGCGCTGGTCCTTCATGGTGAGATGGCCAACATATGCGAGAGCGGTTCTTGCCATCTTTGCCTTCTGGCTGTTTGTTCTTTCGGCAGTGCGTGGTCCTCTCAGTCGTCTGTCTTAGTACCATGATTCAAATGCTTCAGTTCTTCAGTTTTCCTTACTCACTGTCCAACTTTCATGTGAACAAATATAGTTTTCCTAAAAAAATTCCTTTGACTTTTATGTTTTCT